GGGGGGGCTGCTGGTCATGGGATGAGGACAGGGGTGAGGAGATTTTGAAGCTAGTAAAGTTCACATTGAGACCATTGGGTTGTAGGCTTCCAAGGTGGAATATGAAGTGCTGCTCCTCCAGTTTCCAGGTGGCATCGTTGTGACACTGTGACATCAGTGTTTACAACGATGCCACCCAGAAACTGAAGGAGCAGCACCTCATATTCCGCCTTGGAAGCCTACAACCCAATGGCCTCAATGTGGACTCTACTTGCTTCAAAATCTCCTCACCCTGGCCTCATCCCACGACCAGCACCACCCCCCCCCCCCCCCCCATCCCCACCTCCTCGACCTGTCCGTTTTCTCTCTCACCTATCTGCTCCTCCCACCTCACTGAACAACCCCTACCCCAACTTTCTACCTACACTCACCTTTACTAGCTTCATCCCCATCTCCTTCACCTGTCCGTCTTCTCTCCCACCTATCCACTCCACTATCTAACTGCTATCACCCCTCGCCCTATTTATTTCAGAGCCCCTTACTCTCCCACATTTCTGAAGAAGGGTCCCAACACAAAACGTCAGCTTTCTTGCTCCTCTGATGCTGCCTGTCCTGCTGTGTTCCTCCAGCTCCACACCTTGTATAAAATTATGTTATGCTTCTGATCTGATGGAAACCTATTGGGATGTTAAAATCATGGTCGGTCTTAATGGCTGACCACGTGCTGCATTTCCTTAGATTCCAGTCTTAACCCATTTTTGCAAGCAACAAAGAAGCACCCACCTGAATGCAGTGGATCCTTCTTTGAAGATGCACATTGGGCTCCAATAGCAATAATTGGGGTCTGACTGCAAACTAAAGTGAAGCAGCAACAATGTCCTGCCCCGCTGCTGTTACCAGCTGTTTTCAAGTGAAAGATTGAGGGAGGGTCAATACAGATTATCGTTCAATTCAATTCAAGTCGGGGAATTGAAATTTTCCAGACCGTGCAATGCCAAAATCAGGTTGGTTTGTCATTGGTCTTGGCTCTTGTTTGATTATGTTTTTGCACGGTTTCTTCGGCTCCTGAACAGAAGCTTAGACCAGACTTCTTAGTGACGATCAAACTAAGCTTATTGTTACTTTATAAAAGTTGCTGAAGCCAGGGAACAGTATACTCCAGGCTCCACAGTGTTCAATGTATTAACAAGGCTCATCTACATAGGTATCAAGCCCTACCACTTCAGCCCCTTCCTGCATTACTCACATGCTATGTGAGAATTCGGGCTTATAAGTGGGGTTTTCGATGTTTTAATAGAAATAAATTTGAATCAAAAATGGTTAGCGGCATTGTTGAATTACAGGTAGTTTTTTTTTAAGCTTGCAGCATGTTGATCCTTTTCAGTCTGCGTTTTCTTTTTTCTTTCAAACAAAACCAGCTGAAAGCCTGAAGAACTTGAGCAGTATCTCGGTGTTCCATCTATCCGAGCTGACAGGACTTGGCAATGGAATCGAGCAACTTGTCACCGAATTAAGCAGTGGTAACTGCAGCCTCCAAGAAATTAAACTGGCCAGCTGCTGTCTGACAGGGAGTGCCATCAGAACACTTGGTATTTGTATATACTTTTAATCCTTTCATGAGATGTCGGCATCGCTGGCAAAGGCAGCATTTGTTGCCCTTTAACTGAGTGTTAAAGGACATCAGTGAACCAGCTGGATGTTTACAATAATCAATAGTTTCAAGGTCACCATTACTGAGACTAGATTTCAATACCAGATTTTATTGAATTTAAATTCCACCAACTGCCAAGGTAACTAGTCCTGTGGCAATACCACTATACCACAGTCTCTGCTGTTACTGAATTTCTCATCCTATTTCTGTACTGCCCTTCAAAGAACACTGGTTAGAGGAGTTCCAGTGGCTTTCACTTCAATCTTATAATTTAATACCATCCTCCTCTCCTTAAATTGCCAGTCTGGCTGGGTACAGCAGCATTCTCACTGCCTGGTTCATGACTATTCTCCAGATGTTAACTTGGACAGTAAAAGGCAATTTTTTTCTGTGGATTTACTCTGGCTTAACAGCAGTGGACAATGCACATGAAATTGGGCAGAGAACTAATTAGCCAACTCCCTGCAATATAAATTGTTATTCTCTTGAAGAATATATTCTGTGTATCATTATTGCATTCTCTCTTTTACTTGACAGCTCAAAATCTGCACAAGTTGGAAACGTTGGAAGTCCTTGATCTATCAGGAAATAACCTAGAAGAGCAAGCCGTCAATGCAGTCACCATATTATGTAAGCAGGACAATTCATTCATCACAGTTTTAATTAGGTGCCTAATTGCCTGTGACATTGATCACAGATGAGTCTAAGATTAAGGAATGGCCCAGATCTTCGGGTGTCCAGGTAATTGATGACTGGACATGTACACATCCAGACTTCTCAGAAGTTCTGTCGCATTGACAATGTCATAATTGTCCAACTTCTGATCGACAGTCTTGAGTTAGAGTTAAACGTTTTGGAAGGTTCTGATGTACTTATCTTAATAGTAAGCTAGGAAACATTAGAGCGATTGAAACTCCTAGATAACTAGCCTCCCCCAAACACTCACATTCACCCCCAATCATTCACATTGACCCCCCCCCCACCATCATTCATACTGACTCTCCCTAATCACTCACATTGAACCCCAACCACTCACACTGACTCACCAATCACTCCCACCCACACCACCCCCCTTCCAAGTCACACAACCTAACCCCATCACTCACATGACCCCCACTGGACAAATTCCCATGGACACTTAAACACTACCCACTCCCCATCATGGACAATCTTCCTACAGACAGGGACACCCAAATGACTCCTGCTCTCTCCTTCCTGCTTCAGACATATATCCACCTTCTCTCCAACTACAGGCACTTAACTCGACCCCTCCCCGCACCTCCCAAATGAACAACCAACTGACCCACTACCCTACCATACACTCCCCCAATCTAGACACCCACGCATCTAAGCCAAAGACTTTACCGTTCCCTAATGCCTCATCCACCCTACCCTCTCACCCACTTACTTGTTATGCTACCCTCTCACCAACCTGTCACAAACCATCATCTCCCAGACCATCAATAACCTCATCCCCTCAGGAGACTTCCCTCTACAGCCTCCAACCTGATCATTCCCCAACCCTGCACTGCCTGTTTCTATCTCCTACCCAAAAACCACAAACCTGACTGCCCCAGGCAACCCTTTGTCTCTGCCTACTCTTGCCCCACTGAACTCATCTCCGCCTACCTCGACTCCGATATTTTCCCCCGGTCTAGGAACTCACTAGCTACGTTTGGGACACTACCCACATCCTCCACCTTCTCAAGACTTTCAATTCCCCGGACCCCAACATCTCATCTTCACCATGGACATTGAGTGTCTCTACACATGCATCCCCCATAAGGAAGGCCTAAAAGCCCTCTGTTTCTTCCTCTCCTGCAGGCCCAACCAGTCCCTTGTCACCGATGCCCTCATCCACTTGACAGAACATTTCCTCACCCTCAACAACTTTTCCTTTAACTCTTCCCACTTCCTTCAAACCAACGGAGTGGCTGTGGGCACCTGCATAGTGCCGAGCTAGACCTGCCTGTTTGTAGGATACGTGGAACAATCCCTCTTCCACAGTTACACTGGCACCATCCCTCACCTCTTCCTCCACTACATTGATGACTGTTTCGTTTCTGCCTCCTGCTCCCATGAGGACCTTGAATAGTTCATCCACTTCACCAACACCTTTCGCCCTGACCTCAAATTCACCTGGACCATCTCCGACAACTCCCTCCCATTCCTGGACCTCTCTGCCTCCATCTCCGGCAACCGCCTCAGCACTGACATCTATTTCAAACCCACCAACTCCCGCAGTTACCTTGACTACACCTCCTCTCACCCACCCTCCTGCAAAAATGTGATCCCGCACTCTCAATTCCTCCACCTCTGCCACATCTGCTCCCGGGATGAAGCGTTCCATTCCCGGACATCCTGGATGACCTCCTACTTCAAGGACCGTAATTTCCCCTCTCCCGTGATTCAGAATGCCCGCAACGACATCTCCTGTATTTCCCACACTTCTGCCCTCAAACCCTGTCCCCCCACCAACAACAAGGATAGAGTCCCCCTGGTCCTCACATAACACCCCACCAACCCCCGTATCCAACGCATCATCCTCCACCTGCAATCAGACCCCACCACCACAGAGATATTCCCCTCCCCACCCCTACCTACTTTCTGTAGCGACTCTGCAAATCCCTCCACACTCCCCACCAACCCTACCACCTCCAGCACCTCTCCCTGAAACCATAGGAAATGTTACACCTGCCCCTACACCTCCATCCAAGGCCCCAAACAATCATTCTGAATCCAACAGGAATTCACCTGTACATCTTCTAACCTGCCCTACTGCATCCATTGTTCCCAATGTGATCTCCTGTACATCGGAGAGACCAAGCACAGACTCGGTGACTGATGCACTGAGCATGTACGCTCTGAACGCTCCAACAAACACCACCTTCTGGTTGCCAGCCATTTCAACTCCCCCTCCCACTCCCTTGGTGACATATCATTTTTGGACCTCCTCCAATGTCACCACGAGGCCACACATAAATCGGAGGAACAACACCTTATATTCCACCTTGGAAGCTTACAGCCCAATGGCCTCAGCGTAGAATTCACTGGCTTCAAAATCTCCCCACCCCTGGCCTCATCCCACATCCACCCCTCCCTCTCATCCCTGACTCCTTGACCTGACACAACCTGGCCATCTCCTATCTTACCTATCTACCCCACCCTTCCCATTGACCACTACCCCCTACCTGCATCCACCTGTCACCATCTCACCTACCCTCCCCAGCCCCAGCTCTTCCTCTATTTATTTCTGGGCGCTGTTCCCTTACCCAGTCCTGATGAAGGGTCCTGCACATGTTGACTTTCATGCTCCTCTGATGATGCCTGATCTGTGGTGTTCCTCCAGCTCCAAAATGTATCGACTCTGACTTCCAGCATTTGCAGTTCTTGATACCTTCTACCCTTTTCACCTGTCATCTTTCATCTTCTCCCACCCATTTGCCACCATATCTCTTTACCTATCTAGTATGTTATCCATCTGGCACACTACTTCTCACCCAACTACAGCCGGTCCCCTTACCCACTTACTTTGCAGATGATTCCCTCATCTACCTGGCAGCTGATGCCCTTACTCACCAGGCAGCCTTCCTTTGTACCCACATGCCAATTTACCCACTCAGCTCTCTGGCACACTATCCCTCACCGATTGGCACGCTAACCTGTTTGCCACTTGGCACACTTTGTCCTTACCCCCCTGCTAAACTACCTCTTCGTCCACTTGCATTCTACCCCTCACCTACTTGCTACCTAACCTTCAGCCATCTGCCACCATGCCCCCTCACTCACCTGGCATCCTAACCCTTCACCCACTTTGCACCCTACCCCTAACCCACCAGCCACACTACTCTCTCGCTCACTTATCTTACAGACATAAATTCTCTCAGTAGCTGTAATAGTGGCAGTGAGGCCTTATTTACTGGAATATGGCAGCTATTGTCATTAAAAAGGAGTGCTTCTTGGCCTCCAACACTGATCTTGGACTCAGTGGATCCTTAGTTGCTTTCCTACAATGGAAGGATCTGGACACAGGTCAGATTCAGAAGTCTAGTTGCAAAAATCACTGACAGGCAAGAGATTACTGTCAGTCAGATCTGTTGCAATGGTAAGCAGAAGACCTGGGTTCTTTTTGCTTAATTGAGTTGGAGCTGTTTGCTTAAAGCTTTTGTTTGTTTAAAGCCCGTGCGCAGATTCTTCATACACAAAGTGATCAAAATAGGCTTATCCTGAGGTCAACTGGAGACTACTTTAGAATTACGATATCATAGACTAGCACTGCACAGGAGACCTATTGAACCTGTTTTGTCTCCTTTGAAGAACACCCTAGTTAGTTCCATTTTCCACTCCTTTGCCATATAAATGCGAACTGAAAATGTTCAAGATATTTAGCTGTTTGTGAACTTCTGGCTCACACCACTGGAGAGAAGATGTGTCATGAAAGTAAGCAGGAAATCATTGGATTTTTTCCTTTTTTTAATTCAGATTATTGAGACTGCATATTTTGATGGCTTGAGGTGTGATATCTGAAATGTGCAAGATGAATGAAATGCTTTTCTAGATAGTAGATTTGTGATCTAACCTTAACTATTATTTTCTTCCTGCAGTTGATCAGCTAACAGTTGTATTGGGTTTAAAGGTGCTGATGCTGCCTTTTGGATCCAATGTCAACACTTGCTTTGATAAGCTGGTGAACCAACTCAAAAGCCTAACCAATATGACCAAGTTAGGTCTGCAGAAATGGAATCTGAATGACACAGACCTTCTCAAACTAAGTGAGTTAAATATGCAGTAACTAAGTTCCTGTTGCAATTTTTCAAGGCCTAAACTGCTGTGTGTTGTGAATCAATATCAAAAGATAACCTCAAAGGTTGAAAGAGCTAGTACAGTAATAGTTAACCAAAGTGGCATTCCAGTGCTTTGGCAGCATCAATGGTGAAGCAGTTAAAATGGGGAATATGTGAGAGAGTATAATTAATAAATATTAATTATAAAAGTTAATTATTAATTATATTAATTATTTAAAAAATAATTAATTATATAATTAATATATTAATGTTACATTAGTATGTAACCAGGCCAGAATTGGAGAAAATCAGGTATCTTGAAAGGTTATAGGGCTAGGAGGGGGCTATAAAGATCAGCTGAGGCCATGGAGGGATCTGAGAATAAGGAGGAGAATTTTAAAATTGAGGCATTGTGAACCAGAAGCATTTGTAAGTCAGCATTTTCTATTTTGGTTTTAGATGACCAGCAGACTTCTGACTTTAGCTTCTACATTTTTGAATTTATTTTGCTCAGCTTCCCTGATAACCAGTGGACATCTGGAAAACCTTCAGTGCTTGGATCTTGCAAAGAATTCAGTGACCAACAAAGGCTGGATAGCATTTTTTGAAACCCTGAGGACAAGTGAAACCAGCTGTCTTTACAAGTTGACATCATTGGATTTTAGCAGCCAAGAGGAACTATATCCTGAAGCATTCATGGTGAAGGAATTTGTCCAGTGGATAGTAAAGCTACATTTTATTCATGAAGTTGTACTCGTCAACTGGATGTTTGATGAAAATGATCTGAATATGATTAAGAATGCAAAAGCAGCCCAAAAACGAGAATTTCGATTAAGGCTTACAGACACATACAAGTGACAGTCAGCAAATGGAGTTGAGACATCCCTGAATTTTATTCAAACTGTAAACCATTTTGTTAAAAAAAAACAGTTTTTTTCATAATTAAAATGTTGGTTTTCTATTTCAAATAAATGAAGGGGTCTTTTTGGGCCTTAGGAACATAGGAAAAATCACGGAAACATTTAAAGATTCAAGTCTGTCCAGACATTTGGTTACAACATGGCTGATCTGCATTAAACTCTATCTGCTTTAGTTCTTTGCCCTTAATAGTTTGTCTAACAAAAATCCCACTCTTGTAATTTCAATTTAGTAGTTCCAACAAATTTTTGAGGGACAGGTTTCTCAATTACCGCTACCCTTTGTGTGAAGAAGTGTAGCCAGACATCAACTGTGAATGAGCTAGCTCCAATTTTAAAGTTTTCCCCATGTTTTACATGCCCTCTTCCCAACCAGAATTGAAATAATTTCTCTCTATACTCTCAATTCCTTCAACATTCATCTTCTAAACTCAAGCGATAAAAAACCTCTTTAATTATAACTTGTTCTGAGTGAATGTGAGAAATGCTTCAAGCCCATACTGTGCATGTGAGGCCTTTCAGCTAGTTCTGGCTAGTGTATATCAATACACTGAAACTTCCTCTATGTAATATTAACAACATATTGATCAGAGAAGATCCTCCCATTTTAAGAGAATGGCAAAGGAAAGCCTGAAAGTCATCCTTGTGTGGTTTCTGTTCCCTACCATTAGGAACTTTCTAATAGCTATGAGGGATGATTGGAACAATTAGATACTGGGATATCACTGTGGGATAAGAGATGGGGCTAATTGCATCAGGAGGTGTGCGTAAATAAGTGTATAGTGAGACAAGGAGCTGTCTTTCACTGCCAAGTTAAGCAATGTGATGAAATGACAAGAGTAAGTCCTGGAAATGCTCACAACATCTAGTAACATCTATGCAGAGAGATGCTATCAGAACTGCTGAGTATTTCCAGCAGTTTTGCCACTTTGATTTTAGATTTCTAACATTTCACAATATTTTTCTTACATAAACTATCTGAAGCAGCGTGGCAGCATCAAGGCAGGACTTCAAAGAACTGAAGGCCAGTGACTTGTGTGCTGCAGGCAGGGTATCTCAATGATCAAGATGTGCATTTGTAAGTCAACCCTCAGATACAATGTAGCAGGGAGTACAGAGGCATGCAGTAGAATTGTGACCGGACAGGTGGAGTTGGAGCAGGAAATAGAAGAGCCAGTGAGCCACTCCTGGGGCAGCTGCTGCAGAGAGAACTGTGCACCAAAGCTTGAAATAACATGAGGTACAATTCTGTTTTTGATGCAATTGCCAATGTGCTTAAAATGGCACCGATCTTCCAAGACTCCACTTGTATTGTATAATTGTGAGCATATCTTTCTCCTTGGAACCGGTGCAATCAGGCAGCTTGACAGAGTACATGTGATTCACTGCCGACATTATGGTCAGCATGGACTGGTTGGACAAAACGGTCTGCTTCCATGCTGTATGACTCTATAGGATGGGTCTACCAAAAAGTGATAAACTGCTGCAGTTTTTCTAAATAAAATGAGCTCATCATACAAAAATTGTATTTTTAATACACATTCATAAGTGAATAACCTGATATTGATGAAATAGTTTTTAAAATGACTATACTGAACCATTTATTATTTTAATTTATGTATGCTGAATGTATCTTTGTAAATTAAATGTTTTAATTTTTCAGGAGCTGTCTGGTAGTGCCTTTGTACAAACAGGAATATACTTAATTTGAGGAGACTACTTGAAATGCATAATTGGTGGAAACTGGCAATACCTGGGGATGTAATTTTGAGTTCTAATAGAGCCACATTGGACTCAAAACATAACTCTGTTTCTTTCTCTGCAGATGCTGCCAGACCTGCTGAATTTCTCTGCACTTTGTCTTTTTCAGATCTCCAGCATCTACAGTATTTTGCTTTTATATCTAGGGAGAGTTAGTTTTATAGTCAAGACCAAGTTGCAGGCTGATGTGTTAAACAATCAACATTAAAGATGTAGGAAACATTGCCCTGGACTTTCTGTTCCTCAAGCCTTTGTTATGCCAGTGAAGATAGGAGATGGGCATGGAGATCCTGCAAATCCCCCATTATAGCAGCCCCCAATTGAACTGTCCATGAAAATGACCTTTCCACTGGGTAATTCTTCTACGCCTAGAAACTTCCAAAACCCTAATATGATAGCAGAGACTTTGAATGATTCCAATGAAATAAAATGGTTACTCAGAAAAAGTTAAGACTGTTGAGTACACTGTCTAACTCCTGAGTAAGTATTAAACTGATCCCATACTTAACCTCCAAACCCACACACATACACAACTGCACCTCCTTCAGACCCCTTATAGCATCCCAGACCCTAACCTGACAACCCTCCCCCAACTCAGGACTCAGCCCCCACCCCTCTTCCTTTACCTCAATGCCCCACCCAGAATCTGATTCCCTTGCTCCACTCCTCCCTGCCAGACCAGCGGAGACACCCTGCCACTGGACCTGACCTGATGATGCCCCCACCCCCTTCATCACCTGACCTGACCCGACCCCCTCATTCCCCACCAGACCCAACCTGACAAACCCCTCCCTCTGTTGGACCTGACCCGACACCCCCCATCAAACACCCACCTAACACCCCATTCCCCACCACCCCCATCCCCTACCGCCCCTCCCTCCCACTTGACCTAACCCAGCAACCTCCTCCACCTGCTGGACTTGACCTGACCTGACCTACACCACCATCACCCCCGCACCCTGCAGGACCAGACCTGACTGGACAACCCAATCTGAACCAAAATCCCCAACCACTTTCTCTGCACCCTGCAGAAAAGTAACCTAATCAGGGATTAACTAACTGATAGAGGTTTCGTGAGACTTCGGTGAAAGGAGGCTGCAGTGAGGATCAGGTAAGGTTTTTTTTACAATTTCCATTGTTCTCAGCTATTACAGCAGTGAGGATGGAGGGTAGAGCGGTTGTATGCTCTTCTTGCAGGATGTGAGAGGTCAGGGTCACTACCAGTGTCCCTGCTGACTTTACCTGTGACAAGTACACGCAGCTTCAGCTCCTCACAGACTGCATTAGGGAAGTGGAGGTGGATAAACTCTGGGTGATTCGGGAGGCTGAGGGGTTGATAGAGAGGAGTTACAGAGAGGTAGTTACATCTAGGATACAGGATGAAGGTAGCTGGGTGACGGTCAGGAGAGGGAAAAGGAATAGGCAGACAGTGCAGGGATCCCTGTGGCCGTTCCCCTCCATAATAAGTATACCGCTTTGGATACTGTTGGGGGGAGCGACCTACCAGGGGAAAGCCACAGCGGCCAAGTCTCTAACACTGAGCCTGGCTCAGTGGCTCAGAAGGGAAGGGGAGAGAAGAGGAGAGTGATAGTGATAGCGGATTCATTGGTTAGGGAAACAAACAGCAGATTCTGTGGATGAGAACGAGACTCCCAGATGGTGTGTTGCCTCCCGGGCCAGGGTCAGGGATGTCTCAGATCGAGTGTACGGCATTCTTAAGGGGGAGGGTGAGTAGCCAGAAGTCATGTTACACGTCAGTACCAATGACATAGCTAGGAAAAGGGATGAGATCCTGAAAAATGAATATAGAGAGCTAGGAAGGAAGTTTAAAAAGCAGGACCTCAAGAGTAGTAATCTCTAAATTGCTACCTGTGCCACGGGCTAGTGAGGGCAAGAATAGGACGATATGGTAGCTGAATGCATGGCTGAAGAGTTGGTGCAGGGGGCAGGGTTTCAGATTTGTGGATAATTGGGATCCCTTCTGGGGAAGATATGACCTGTACAAAAAAGACGGGTTACACCTGAACTCGAAAGGGACCAGTATCCTTGCGGACAGGTTTACTAGAGCTGTTGGGGAGGCTTTAAACAAGATGGGCAGGAAGTTGGGAACCAGAGCATTAGCTCAGAAGATGGAGCAGTTGGTTAAAGGTAGATGCAATCAGTAGGGAAACTGTGAGGAAGGACAGACTAAAATGGCAGGAGGACAGGAGTCCATGCAGAAACGCAAAAGGAAGCAAAGAAAAAGTTACAAAAGAAAGAAGTAAAATTGGAGGACAGAATCAAATGCAAAAGACAAGAAGATATCTAGACTCTAAAGGGACAATGAGTATATGCCCGTAGTATTTGAAGCAAAGTCGATGAACTTGTTGTGCAAATCAGTAAGAAGGAGTCTGATTTGGTTTCCATTACAGAAACGTGGTTGCAGGATGGTGATGACTGGGAACTAAAAATCCAAGGGTTTCAGGTAATTCGGAAGGACAGGCAGGAAAGTAAGGGAGGTGGGGTCACGCTCTTAATTAAGGTTGAGATCAGAGTGATAGTGAGAGATGATATAGGATCTACAGAGCAAAATGTTGAATACATCTGGGTGGAGATTAGGAGTAGTAAGGGGAAGAAGTCACTGGTGGGAAAAGTCTATAGGCCACCCAGTAATAATGCTACAGTGGCACAGGCGATAAATCAAGAAATATCTGGCGCATGTAAGAATGGAACAGCAGTAGTCATGGGGGACTTCAACTTGCACATTGATTGGGCGAATCAATTCAGTAGAGGTAGTCTTGAAGAGGAGTTCACAGAACTCATCGTGATAACTTTCTTGAACAGCATGTTACCGAACCTACAAGGGAACGTGCAATCTTAGATCTGGTCCTGTGTAATGAGACAGGTAAATTAATGATCTCGTAGTTAGGGATCCTCTTGAAAAGAGTGATCACAGTATGATCGAATTTTGAATGTAAATGGAGGGTGAAATAGTATCATCTAAAACCGTGGTTTTCTGCTTAAACAAGGGAAACTACAATGGGATGAGGAAGGAGTTGGCTAAGCTAGACTGGGAACACAAGATGTATGGTGGAACAGTTGAGGAACAGTGGAAGACTTTTCAAGAGATTTTTCATAGTGCTGAAAACAAGTATATTCCGGTTAAAAACAAGGATAGCAAGGGTAGGAACAGCCAGCCTTGGGTAACTAAGGAAATAAAGGAAGGCACCCAATTAAAAGCTCAGGCTTACAAAGTTGCCAAGAGTAGTGGGAAACAGGAAGATTGGGAAAACTTTAAAAAGCATCAGGGAACCATGAGGCAAGCAATAAAGAAAGGAAAGATAGATTATGAATGCAAACTAGTACAGAACATAAAAACACATAGTAAAAGTTTTTATAAATATATAAATCAGAAAAGGGTGGCTAAAGTGGATGTAGGTCCCTTGGAGGATGAGAAGGGGGAATTAATATTAGATAATGCTGAAATGACTATTTTGTGTCAGTCTTCATACTGGAAGATGTGTCTAACATGCCAAAGAATGATGTTAATGGGAGGTGAGTACCTTAATTCAGTTGTTATCACGAAAGGGGTAGTGCTGAGCAAACTAGAGGGTCTAAAGTTAGATAAGTCCCCTGGTCCTGATAGAATGCATCCCAAGGTGCTGAAAGAAATGGTGGAAATTATAGTAGATGCGTTAGTGGTAATTTACCAAAATTTGCAGGACTCTGGGCAGTTCCTAGTGGACTGGAAGACAGTGAATGTCTCACCACTGTTTAAATAAGGATGTAGGCAAAAAGCAGGTAACTACAGGCCAGTTAGTTTAATGTCTGTAGTCGGCAAAATGCTTGAGGCTATCATTAAGGAAGAAATAGTGAAACACCTGGAATGGAAAGGGTTCCATCAGGCAGAGGCAGCATGGATTCAGGAAGGGAAGGTCTTGTTTGACAAACTTACTGGAATTCTTTGAGGATGTAACAATCACGGTGGATAGAGGGGAACAGGTGGATGATGTGTACTTCGATTTCCAGAAAGCATTCGATAAGGTACCGCATAAAAGAGTCATCCATAAGGTAAGACTGCATGGAGTTGCAGGGAGTGTATTAGCATGGATAGAGGACTGGCTAACCAATAGAAGGCAGAGAGTTGGGATAAATGGGTGTTTCTCTGGTTGGAGATCCGTGGTGAGCGGAGCGCAGCAGGGGTCGGTGTTGGGCCCACAACTGTTCATGATATATATAAATGATTTGGAAGACGAGACCAAGTGTAACATATCTAGGTTTGCTGGTGACACTAAATCGAGTGAAAAGGCAAATGGTACAGAGGACGTGGAGAGTCTGTAGAGAGATTAAGGTGGGTTAAGTGATTGGGGAAGGGTCTGGCAGATGGAATACAATGTTGGTAAATGTGAGGTCATCCGCTTTGGAAATAAAAATAGTAGATCAGATTATTATTTAAATGGTGAAAGACTGCAGCATGCTGTTGTGCAGGGGGACTTAGGAGTGCTTGTGCATGAATCACTAAAAGTTGGTTTACAGGTACAACAGGATAATAAGGAAGGCAAATGGAATGTTGGCTTTCATTGCTAGAGGGATTGAATTTAAGAGCAGGGAGGTTCTGTTGCAACTGTACAAGGTGCTGATGAGGCTGCACTTGGAATATTGTGTGCAGTTCTGGTCTCTGTACTCAAGGAAGGATATACTGGCTTTGGAGGTGGTGCAGAGGAGGTTCACCAGGCTGATTCTGGAGATGAGGGAGTTACCCTATGAGGAGAGGTTGAGCCGCCTGGGACTGTACTCGCTAGAATTTAGAAGAATGACAGGGGTTCTTTAGAAACATATAAAATTATGAACGGGATGGATAAGATAGAGGCAGGCAAGTTGTTTCCACTAGTGGGAGGGACTAGGACTAAGGGACTTTGCCTTAAGATTAGGGGAAGTAGATATAGGACAGAGATGAGGAGGAACTGCTTTTCCCAGAGAGTGGTGAATCTATGGAATTCTCTGCCCAGGGAAGAAGTGGAGGCAGATTCATTAAATATATTTAAGACACAGTTAGATTTTTGCATGCTGGGGGTATTAAGGATTATGGGTACAATGCAGGCTGGAGGAGCTGAGACCACGGATAGATCAGCCATCCTTACTTGAGAAAGGATGTACTGGCACTGGAGGGGGTGCAAAGGAGGTTCACTAGGTTGATTCCGGAGTTGAGGGGGTTGGCTTATGAGGAGAGACTGAGTACTTTGGGATTATATTCATTGGAATTCAGAAGATTGAGGGGGGATCTTATAGAAACATATAAAATTATGAAGGGAATAGATAAGATAGAAGTAGAGAGGATGTTTCCACTGGCAGGTGAAGCTAGGACAAGAGGGCAGAGCCTCAAGATTAGAGGGAGCAGATTTAGGACTGAACTGAGAAGGAATTTCTTCACCCAGAGTGTTGTTAATCTGTGGAATTCCTTGCCCAGTGAAGTAGTTGACGCTACTTCAGTAAATGTTTTTAAAAAGGTAGATTTTTTTTGAACAATAAAGGAATTAAGGGATACGGTGAGAACGCGGGTAAGCGGATCTGAGTCCACGATAGGATCAGCCATGATCTTATTGAATGGTGGAGCAGGCTCGAAGGGCCAGACGGCCTACTCCTGCTCCTAGTTCTTAGTTCAAGATCTTAATGAATGATGGAGCAGGCTCAGTGGGCCGAATGGCCTACTCCTGCTTCTATCTCTTAGGAACCCGATTTCTCCCACCCACCCCGACCTTCATTTAATACTGCATCATTTGCCACTTAGTACCCTACTGCCCTTCCCCCTTGGCATCCTACACACCTGGCACATTACCCTCCCCATCCAGCTGGCACCTTACCTAGGTGGTTCCCCTGCTCCCCACTCCCCTGGTGTTGTAACCCCTACTCATTCCTAACCCTGGCACCCTAGCCAGTTATCCCCCTCCTTTCCTGGCACCTTACTTACCCGGCGGCTCCCCTTCCCTCCCGGCACCCTAAGGTCACACTGACCTCATGTACTTCCTGTTTGACGGCAGCTGGCAAAGCGGCTTTCGGGTCCCTTTTTTAGATGTCAGAAGACGGCAGCTGCCTGCTGTGAAGACGGGCGTGGTCTGCCTTCCCCTGACAGCGCTGTAAGAATGAAAGTGCCCTCGGCCCGCATTCTTGGGGGCGTCCTGAACGCGATCCCTGAGAAATGTGGAGCTCCCTTCTTTCACAAAGGAAAACCGCAGTAACGCTGTGTGGTTGCCATCGCCCGGAAAATCCGGCCCTACGATCTATGGTTGTTGTTGCAACTTGCGTTTTTAATTCCTCCTGTGTGTGTGTGTGTGTGTGTGTGGGTGGGTGGGGGGTGTTTTCAATGTTGGCCGGGGAACTAAGAAGCGCAAACTGGCGAAAACCCTACATTAACATGAACGAGCCCCCGACCCACCAGCGCCTGTGTTATATTTGTCTTTTTCTCAATCACTTTCTAACCTTGTACTGTCCTTGACGCTGCGCCCGTGTTAAAATAAACACAGAGAGCTTCACAGGGTGCTGTGACACACGCTGCTAACGATGCTCGCGTTTGACAGAAAACGCCGAATGTTGCAAACAGGAATTCGTGTGTGTTTTGCAGACTTGGGAAAAACCAGACAGTAGCAGCATGTTCAGATATAACCGTGCATCTCTGCACCAGGCGTCCAACAGCAACTTATTTTAACCTGACCGGTCATATTATGTCCTTTTATTGCATCACTTCATTCATATAAAGCTTCACGGGCCGTTTCCCCTTAATAATTACCCGCCCCCTCCTCCTGTATATCTATCTGTACAACCTGTCTCTGCATTTTAACATTCATTTAATTTCCCTTTTTTAACCCCTTCCCTGAATTCCCTCGGGTTTTTTTTTTGTTTTATTTTCCCTTCTGCCTGCTGTCCTTCCCTCTTAATTTTCCCGTTTACGTTCTCTGCACATTATGCTTTCTTATTCTGTGCCGGCTATACGGTGCCACTTTCGCCTGCCCTTATCCCTTTACTTCTGCCCTTCGTGTCTGCTGTGCCGCCCGGGCATCACTTGCACGCTAAGCCTGGTGGCCCCGGGTTTCCCTGGCGAGGCGGACCGCTCCCAGAGGCGGAGGAGAGAGAGCCGTGGGTCGGCGCTGCAGACCACCGAGCGGCGCCTGCACAGCAGATGAGCGAAGAGGAGCGGCGCTGACAGCCAGACCGCGGCGTCTCGCCTTGCCGTGTCCCCTTCCCCCTCCCCTGCCGTCAGCCTCGCTAGCTCGCTCCCTCCCTGCCTTCCCCTTCCACTGCTAGCAGCTCCCTCCCTGCCAGCTCCAATGCGGCTCCGTCTGAATCCCACTACAGGCTTGTTTCTCTTTTACCCACCTCCCGACCACTGCCTCCTCGCCGATTTTTCCGGGAAGCCTAAGGAGGCGAATGTGCATCCAATGAAAACCTGAGCACGTTGGACGGATGAGGATGTTGCAGAAGACTGCAGTGAAAATGCTCGGGACAGGTTTGACACTTGGGTTCGCGTAAGGAGTGATTCATTTATTTTTAACAAAAAAGGGGGGGATAAAGGGATAAGGAGACCATCTGGCAATCTCTGAGTGGACAACTTTAGCTGGCGTGTTTCCCTGTAGGATGTGCAGCAACTCAGCTTCCAGCCAGGACGATGAAAGACAGTGTAAGTTGCTATCCTATATGTTTTACCAGGCAGTTAGAGACCACAAGCCCGTGTGGATGCTAGAGGACATGAGGACTATGGAATCGTTTTACTGGGAAGACAACACCAGCCTACGCACTTACTCGCCTTCAGAAGCCCTCCTATACGCGGTGGTACACAATCACCTCCCGTACGCCCAATACCTGTTAACCCATTACCCGGACGAGGCATTGGAGGTACCTGGGGATCGCTTCTGCTGTTGCCCTTCCTCTGCCCCTCACCTCGCCATGGCGGTCAGGTATGACCGCAAGGACATCCTTGGCCTGATCCTGAAGATAACCCACCAACTTCCGGGCTTCAAGTCCTACATCAACAGGAAAGGCTGCTTCCACATAGAAGACGGCAAGACCCCTTTGCACTTAGCCTGTGAGCTGCTCAGGGCCGAAACTGTTCTCATGTTGCTGGGCAGCGGCGCCTCACCCAAGATCGTGGACAGCAAAGGGCTGACCCCTCTGGATGTCATCCTGGAGCAACTCCGGGTGTCAAAGATCAACGTCGAGTCCAAGAAGCTGTGCATCGACCAGCTGTTGCTGTTCATGTCTAGTCTGCAGTTCAAAATGAAGAGGGCTCTGGAAGACAATCCGAATGAATGGAATGGGCTTTTGGGAGAGGAGAAATACAACTACCTCTGTGGGAAAACACCCGCCACTTTATTCCTCATCTCCATGCAGGGCATTTTAAAATGCCTTCCACCGTCTCGATTCCCAGCTAGTATTAAGGAATTGCCCATACCCCAGTCCCTAAAGCCGTTGCCTTTAGGAATATCGACATTCCGCTGTGTGGACGTCCTGTAGCATACCGCAAGACTTCGAATTTTTTCTGAGAGGCATTTTTGAACGTGAATTAATTGTTTCTGCCGGAGCATGCTGTTGCATCAAATACAAAATAGTCCTCTAATGATACTGCATGGCGTGTTATACTTTTTGATAGATTTTCTAGCTGGGTCACCCCATCACATGTTCTTAAGTACAAGCTTGAAAATCAGGGGCATTACAAAATTAGCTGACAGATAATATACAAAAAATGTTCTTTTTTTAAAATACCGGATGCAGAAGGTGCTGAACAGAATTGCTGTATTCGGCTGCTTAATGATAAATTGCCTGAATCAAATCTAAGAGGAAAATTGCAACTCGATTCTATGTAACTGCGTGGTCGGGTTCAATACAGTGCAGTACATGCAGATGGTAAATTTCTGCATGTATTCTGAGTGAATTCTGGCTGTGGATTGGATTCCTGCAATTGCATAGAACGTGAGTTGATAGAAAAGAAAATGAGGTTTAACTTTGGCAAAAAAAAATGAAACTTAACACATATTAGCATGGCGTGCATCGTTGGGGGATAGATATTTTAAAGTAACCCAGTTCTTTTTAGGTTTCATTATGGAATGCGCTGCTTTAGCCTTCAGCCCACAACGCACCTTACTGTAAAAGCGTGTGCTTGTGTGGGCTAATCCCAACAAGAGGGGAGCATTTCTGTGGCGAAAATCTTGAAATCAATTTCAAGAACTCCAGAGAAACACTAGCAAAATATATGGGTGAACCATTGTTATAACAGAGAAAATAATATGAAATGAATAGATTTGCATGCTTATTATCAGCATAAAAATTAACATCATTGAGCTTTAGAACCAATAAATTGTATTTAAGATTTGAATTAGTGCCAAAGCTTATCAATTTATGTTCTAATTAACGTTTCACAAGTGTACATACCCATTAATGAGGATTTTAATAATTTTTACATGTACATTTAACAGATTTTTTTATTTTCTGAAACTTCTATTCATGTATATTTGTCTATTAAATATAAAATAATTACATTCAAATATTTATTGCAACAATATAGCCGTGATAGCCAATATTTTAATCACTTGCTGAACATGACTGATTATGAACTAGATGCTACTAATTTCTGGTTCATGAATAATAGAAGAGTTTTCAATATCAATAAAGGACATGGGGTATTAATATTTACCAGTATGACCACATACATATGTATTTTAATCTTTCTGTCCATTTGTTGACAAGATGGTATGGTAAAAAGTAGAGTAACAGGTAATAATATGACAACTTAAATGTAATAAACCACCCCTAGGTACTTCTATTTGATACAACTTCATCTAAAGAGAACTTAAAAGTGATGACCAAAATCTTGACCAAACTAGTAGATTTAAAAGAGTATCTTAAAGAAGGAAACATGTAGCAAGGAAGTAAGGTTTATGGAGGGAAACCCAAAGCTCAGAGCCTCTAGGCATGTGAAGGCATGGGTCCAAAAGATGGAACAAAAATCAGGGATGGACAAGAGATCAGAATTAGAAGAGCATAGATATTTCAGCTCATGTGCAGGGCTTAAGAACATTACAGAACTAAGAAGGTTCAAGTCCATGGAGTTTACTGAATTTCCTTTTTATTTGTTCACAGGATGTAGGCATTGCTGGCTGGGCCAGCATTTATTGCCCATAATTAATTGCCTAGAGAGCAGTTAAGAATCAACAACATAGTTGTGTGTCTGGAGTCACATGTAGAAAGACTAGATAAGATATTTTCTACAAAACTACTTCATGTATCTAAGACAGTGTTGCTGTAAATCTGTGACTAGCTAGTGATTTATATTGGATAGCAATGCAGTAAATAATTTATAATCGAATTATAGATGCATGTGTAAGTATGAATGGACATTTTTTGTATCACCGATATGCATGAGTGTGGAATGAGTTTATTAAAGAGTAATAAATATGACAAAATTCTGACAAATGTCTTGGTTAGTAATTTTAAAATTCAAATAGAAACTCTTGCCCAAAGTGTCATTTTGTATATTTGTATGTTTGGAGTGGAATTATTGCTGCTCTAGAACTTTTTTGTGCGAATATTGATAATTAAATATAACCACGTCAAACTTCTGTGAAGCTGCAGACTGCAGGCAGATGCAGGGAAATAGCAATTCTGGTGAGCTAATCATTCTTAAAGGGTACAACACAGTATGATACTGAATCAAATGCTAATATCATAGCAAAAAACTACTTCGAAAAGTATAAGGGCTGAAAAGTCAGTAACTACTGTTTCCAAAAGCCACTACCCTTCTAGGGCTCATCTGATTTCTATCCAATTCTCCTTTAAGATTTCTCACACAGTTTCCTTCCATTTCTGTCTGGGTGGTAAATTCCATGCATGCAACCACACTCTGCATAAAATTATTAAACCTGAACTATCTCTTCTAAGCTTGAGTTCCCCCACACTGCTTCTAACGTTTATGGAAATCTTAAAGTTGTCTTTACCATCTCCTTAATAATCTTGAATGTCTCAATAATATATTATTCAAGCCTTTTTTCCTCTCATGACTAAACAATTCCAGGCTTTTTACCATCTCCTCACATTCTGGCTGCCTTACTATTTGTCTTTTCTTCGGTGTCTGGATATCTCTGTGACTGTGCTTGGAATTGTACATAATGCTGTATATGTGATTGTACTAATGGTCTGTACAGCCTAAAGATCACTTTTTGAAATGTACTTTATATTCCACTGTTTATGCACTCAGCTTTCTGCTTTGCTGTTGCACATATTCATTTCAGTGATCTATCCACTAATTTTCAGTGATTCCTCTTCTTAGATGTCATGAAAATATTTGGTACTGTAACATCAATTGCAGATTTAAAGCACAATTCTAAATAGCAATCTGAAATATTTTGGTTCTGTAATCTTGTGGAGTTCTTCTAAATATTCTATTATAATATTTCAGGAGACCAGAAATCTTTGAGACCTTTGTTTTTAGTCAACCTATTATCGCCTTTTTAATTGCTCTAGTTTCCTTGTAGTTTTCCCAATTGTTCCTTTGTCATAATTTGTGGTTGGAATTTCACAATTGGCATAATGCAATTAACATTGTGTATCTTCAATGAATTTACATTTTATTCCCAATATTGTCTTTGCTCATGTTGCATATTTCAATGGCAACCAGAAGATATATTTATTCATAGAGCAAATCTAGTGTAATTAAATACTCAAAGGCACTTTTCAAGAGTGTTCAGTACAAAATTTGGCAGTATGCCATGTAAAGATATGTTAGTAGAGATGACCAAAAGCTTGGCCAAAGAGGTAGGTTTTAAAGAACATCTTATAGCAATACAAAGAAATAAAACTATAAGGCGTTTGATCAGACATAGACCATTTCAGCCCATCATGTCTGCTCTGTTATTCCATAAGAACATGGCCAATTTGATAATCCTCCATGATTATTTTTCTGCCTTTTCTCCATAGCCCTTGATTCACTTGCTAATAAAAAATCTCACCAACTCAGCCTTGAATATAGATATAGAGGGATAAAGGATTTCCAGACTTTAGGATCTAGCTAGCTGAAGGCATGGCCACCAAAGGCAAAACAGTTAAAATCATGGTTCCCGAAGAAGCCAAGATTATATGAGTGTAAAATTGTCTTGGAGTGTTCCAGGGCTTGAGGAGGCTGGAGAATACTACAAAAAGTATGAAAGGGTAGGTCATAGACAAGTTTGAAACCAAGAATGAGAATTTTAAGATCAAGATGTTTTTTGAACCAATGTATGTCAGTGAATACAGCAGTGATGAATGAACGGGACTTGGGATGAGTAAAGACAAAGGCAGTAGAGTATTAAATTCCCCAATTTATTGAGGATAGGAAACAGGAGGCTGGACAGGAGTGTATTGGAACAGTTTCCAAACAGTTAACCAAACCCTCTGAATTCTTATGGCTTAAGGTCAAATATGGGCACAGTAAATCTCTGTCATTTACCAAGAACCACCCCCAATCCCTCAGCTGATGAATCAGCACTCCTCCATTTTGACTAGCAATTGAAAGCAGTACTAAGGCTATAAGGCTGTCAAGTGCCCAGAATGTACTCTGAGTGGAGGATTTCAATATGAAAAAATGGTTTAGCAGCACCACCAATAGTGACCAAGCTGGCTAAATCCTAAAGGGCATAACTGCTGCACTGAGTCTGTTGCATATGGTGAAGGATCCAACAATAGGGAGAAACATACTTGACCTCATCTTTACCAATATAGCTGCCACAGATGCATCTGTCCATTACAGTATCAGTCAGAGTAATCATTGCCTGGTCCTTGTTGAGATGAAGTCCCAACTTCACATTGAGTATGCCATCCATTATGTTGTGAGGCTCATTCACTGTGCTTTGAACAGATCTACTAACTGCACAACTTAGCATCCATGAGGTGCTGTGGGTCATCAGCAACAGCAGAATTGCACTGAAACGCAATCTGCAATGACATGGCTCTGCATAACCCTCAGTCTGCCATTGCCATTAAGCCAGGAGATCAATCCTGCATCAGTGAAGAGTACAGGAGGGTATGCTGGAATCAGCACCAGGCATCCCTAAAATTCAGGTGTCATGTGGTGAAACCACAACACAGAACTACTTGTGAGTGAAGCTACACAAGTATCAAGTAATAAATAAGGCTGAGCAATTCCATGGTCAATTGATCAAAGCTAAGCTCTGCCACATCTAGTCATGAAAAGTGAGCACTTAAACAACTCACCAAAGGAGGAAGCTCCACAAATATCCATTTCCTTGACAATTTCAGAGCTTAGAACATCAGCATAAAACATAAGGCTGAAATAACCTTCATTCAGAAATATCAAGTGAATGATCCATCTCAGCCTTTCGAAGTCCCCTGCATCACAAATGCTAGACTTCTGACAATTTGATTCACTTCATGTGACATCAAGAATCAGTTGAAGGCACTGGACACTACAAAGGCTATGTGCCCTGACAACATCCTGACTGAAGACTTGCACTCCAGAACTTGCC